GCTTCTCCTGGAGGCTGCTGATCTCGCCGGTGAGATGACCGTGCTTGCCGCGTGAGTCTTCGCCCTCACGGTAAAGCACCTTGTTGCGCTCGGTCAGAGTGTGGATCTCCGACTTGATCTCGGTGATCGTCAGCTCGGCGCGGCGGAGGGAGTCTTCCAAGATGTTGATGCGGCGGTGGCCGTCTTCCACCTTGCGGTGCTCGTCGTGGAAGTCCTGCTTGACTTGGTCGCGCTCGATGACAACGAGACGGTGGTCCTCGCGAGAGCGGTCGATGGCGTCTCGGAGCTCTGTACGCTCAAGCTCAACGTCCCTCAACTTCTCCTTGACGGACACAACCTCGCGCTTGATGTGCTCGTACTTGAGAGAGAACTCGTTAGCACGGGCGTCAGCCTCCTCCCAACCTTGAGCCTTGGCCTTCACCTCACGGCGGAGGTTGTCAATGGTCAAAGCATGGTCATCACGCTCTGTCTCAATGATGCGGACAGTCTCCTTGAGCTTGTGAAGCTCACGCTGCACACGGTCGTGTCGCTCAGTGAGCTCAGTGTACTCGCGAGTAGTCTCGTCAACGCGAGATTTCGCGCGCTTCAACTCTTCGTGCAGACGATCCTTCTCGTGGAGGTGTTCGTCCCGCTCAAGCTCGAACATCTTGATACGGTCGGTAAGAGTAAGGACCTCCTTGCGAGTAGACTCAAACTTGGAAGTAGTCTCGTTGTACTTGCTCTTGAGCTCAGTGTGCTCACGAAGAAGTGTCCTGAGCTCATTGTGGTGCTTGTCTGAGTCGAATCGAGCGGAATCGCGTTCGCCTTCACAGATCTTCAGCCTGGAGTACGCAGCCTCTAGCTCCGCCCTGGTCCTCTCGTGGTCACCATGAGTGAGCGTGATGGAGCTTTGAAGTTCGTGTAGCTCATGTCGGGTGTTCTCCAGGTCGCGGTCGCGATCGGCAAGCTTCTTCTTGTGGTCGGTCACTTGAGTAAGGGCAGCGTTAAGCTCAAGAACGAGCTTCTCCACCTGCCTCTTCCTCTCGCCGTGTTCATGACCATAATGTGAGTGTTCAGCTTCTTTGCGCTGGATCTCTTCCGTCACCTCCTCGACGGTAATGAGAAGCTCATCCCTCTCACGGGAGAGACTGTCTCGCTCAGCCATGATACGAGACCATGACTCTTTGAGCGAAGAAGCCTCTCGGGAGGCGGTAGACATGAGGTCCATCAAGGCGAAGAATTTGCCCTCAGCTTGTGATGTGAGCTCTGTAGACATCTTGCTTCGATGCGACTGGAGGAAGCTGCTTGCTCGACGAGAGGATGAGCTGGTCTGACGAGTCGTTCGACGTGTCAATGATGAGCTGTGGCCGCCACCATTTGCTTGACTGGCGAATGAAAAAGATCGGTTGCCTGTGGGGGAGGAAGGCTCAGAAAAGACATCGCGCAGTCCACTGGCCTTGAGCTTCATGATAGTGAGCCTCTCTGGCGAGATATCGGCGGTGGTATCGAATGTGTCTGTCATTGTGATGATGTGCGGTATGGAGAGAGATGTGAAGATGTTTGAGATGTATATGCTATGAGGGTGAGCGGAAAGTGGTACTTATGCTGTCAGTGCCGTCAACCAGCATCCTGCCCCACGTACCATGGTAGCGTGTCACAAGCGGCACATCCATACTGCCATCGGTATAGTCAGCTCCTCGCATTGACGAGCTGGTCGTGGCTTGCAGCTTGGAGGTATATTCCCACGTATGACGCAACGTTCTCAGAGCATTTGGCAAACTGGAGGAGCTATCCCAGCTGCCGTTCGATACGCTGCACTGTTACTGGAAAGGCACATGCAGCAACTTGGAACCATGCATGAGATAAGTGGGACCTCTTCATCAAGTGTCGGCGACTGAAGAGGTGGAGGTAACCATCGTAGCATTCAGCTTGAATGAGCACCGCCTAGGAGATCAGACCCGGCATTGCCATATGCAATGACGATCCTTTGTAGCGCAAGTCGATGAGAGGGATTTTGACCTTGCCGCTCTCGCTTGTCGGGGCATTGGACTGCATGATGGATCGGCTTACGACTGGATGATGTGATGCCAGGCGCGGGTAGATCACCAGGGCTGGGTATCTCGATGCTGCAGATCGCAGATCATATATGGGGGCGGGCCGCGCTATAGCATCCTCGCCGAGTCGACAGCGCCATCGCTTGGCCTCGCTTGCTTCTTTCGGCCACTACATGACGCCAAAGCTTTCGATAGTCCTAAACGGGATTCCGTCTTCCAACGCGAGGGAAGAGCCGCGGGCCAATGGCATTGCCTGGCATGCTGGACCGGACCGCCATCAGGCAATCGGAAACGTCGGCCATGACCGAGCAATGGGATGACGACGGCCATTGGAGGGGAAGCTACACCGGTGCACGCCTGGCCATTACCAGTGTAGTGTATCTGTGAGCGATGATCGAAGAGCCGGTGGTTGTAAGACGTAGCTCCAGATCGTGCGGCGGCTCAAGGTATGGTTGACGCTAACACATGACCCCGCCTTGTCGATGAAGAAGCAACGAAGGAGCGGAGGAGTTCGCATCGCCAAACCTCCGTTGAGCTCGAACAGAGAATTAACAAATACTATTGATTCCAGAGCCGTTGGTGGAATATGTCCAAGTACCAGCACGAGCTTCAGCCGTGCTTCATGCATTTTCCTAATGCGGGTCTCGGTTCTGCATATCGTACCCGCACTTGCAGCGACGTCACAGCTAGACGAGAATTCGGGAAAGAGCGATCAAAACCCGACTGAATGCATCGATGGAGGTGTCCGGTAGTGTGTACCCATGATGCATGTCCTTTCCCACACGTCTTGCGTTTTGGCTAGCGCGACACGGCCTACTAAATCTCAAGTAGTGCGCGGGCATTTCTTCAGTGCCAACACCGGCTGTCTTCCACCGACATCACAATGATAATAGGTTTGTATGAGACGCGACTTGGGTATATTAAAACATGTGTTTCTTAGGAACGAGACCTCTTTTCATCGAAAAATGCCTTTTGGGAAGAAGTGACTTGATTGAGCCCATCTGTCCAGTCGTGAAGGCAAATTGTCGATCAAAAGAGGAGAAACAGTACCAGCATGTCTCTCTTAGATGAGTAGCCAGGACCTTCACAAGTCCTCTCAACGAATGGTCTTGCTGTACTGCATACGGTCGCAATATCATGGATTGGAGAAGATATATTCGGGAGTATGCTCACGGTGAGATTCACACGGGGATGTGGCAAAGAGTACCCTGCGTCGCCGCTACCCAAATGTGAAACGATGTCTGCTTTGAAGATCGAGTTTGTAAGAGCCGGGAAGGGCAAGCCCTGACGAACTGAAGACTGTCGTCTTTGTTCGAGCATCCGAATCCAGACGTTACCAGGCACCTTTTGCGCTTGTTATCGGTAAAAATCGATACCTGAAAGAAGTCTGAAAACGGTCCTCGTATCGCAGATATGATAAATGTGTCCAAGGTAAATCGCATGTTGTGCGTCAAGAACGACACTTCGTTCTTTACATCTCTCAGACCTTCCCGACACACACGCCGTCATGAAACTATCCCTCACCTCAACCTTCGCGCTTTCACTCCTCGCCACATCCATCGATGCTTACGAATTCAAAACCGGATCAGGAGTTTGTGCCAAGCGTTATGAAAAATGCACAGAACCATGGGTTTACCTTTGTGAATGTAACTCGGGCTGGATTGTAAGTCTTCCATATCTTATACGAGGTTGCGCACGCGCTTATTGTTGTCAATACAGGTGCAGTGTAGTGGTGGCGGGACCCGCTTCGATCCAACCCCTGTGAAATGGATGCCTCTTCTTGACTGTCCAAAGCCGGACAAGAAGGGAGGGCTGCAATGTGTTTCTGGGATGTGCACTAAATGGCGGCCTGACCTGCTATCGATTTAGAGCTGTTCTGATGTTGTTGGTGGACAAATGCCGGTGGGGTGTGGGTGTATTTGCGTACTCAGACAGTAATTGGTTCGCTCTTACATAGTTGTAGCTTGATGAAACTCGACTTATTTTGTGTGTTCGCAGTCGTCCTATCGACGTTGTTTCGTTGCCTTGCGTCTAGTAAACAACGGAACATCTGATGCCGCTGTGAAGGCTCGATTTATTGAAGGTATACGGTACCAGATAGATGGGGCTATGGAGCAGATTACGCCATTCATATAAATTAACGATGTTGTCACGGCAGGACGCTGACACATGTAAGTTGGCATGATGCCCAGGTGTTGTTGGGCCAAGTCTGATCCCCACGATCACTTGGGCTGGGCTGTCCACAGGTCAGCCCTCTTGGAGTACGCGAGGATGAATGATGGGCGTGCTACCACGAAGACTTTAAATCCAGACAACCTTGGAAGGCTCAGCCTGATCTAAATCGTGTTCGACACGCGTGACGAAGAAGCAGTGTGGACATTGATCATCGCGTCGGTGGCGTTCGGCTTGAGTTCGGCCTTGAGACCCGTGGACGGCCCCGCAACTAGCGAGTCTTGGGCTGTTTCAGTTCCGCCCTTTTTCCGTGAGCCGCAAAACCCAGCGCACCTCTCAAAGCTATCATGCTCATCAAGTCTTTGGAACCCAAGCTGCCCAACATCCGATAAGGGAACGCGTTCAGTTCGCTTCGATACACGATTCAGGACGGTGAGGCAGGTGTTAATCCTAGCACACGTTCAACTGCGGAAGCGTCCATTCCACGATACATAGGGATTCGACCCGACTTGTTGTCATCTGTTTGTCCAACTGCACTTTTGCAATCACGCACGCCGAAGATATCACAATCCAATCATGTCGCTGACGCCAGAGCCCCTACGCCTGTCACCCTGTTCCGAGAACGAGTCCATTTGTTGCGAAGACGAGTCCGATTGGGACAAAGAGAAAGCCAAACTGCAAGGCCGAGTCCGTCGTGTTAATCTAGACGAAGTGCCCATCTCTAGGTAAGTTGGAACGATCGGGAAGTATGTATGGCCTCCGAACACTGTCGCTCACATCTGGACCAGTGACATCATGAGGTCGTTAAAACTTCATACAGGATGGTTACACAGTCTTCAGATCGCCAACAGTGCAGCCAATATCTCAGACAATGATATCCTTGATTTAGTATCACATAACAACGGGCTACGCGAGATTTTCCTAATAAACAAAAATCTAACTGACGATTCAATCCGTCATATCCTTGGATATTGTCCAGACATCGTATCCATTTCAATTGGTAGTGGTCCTGCTGGCGGAGATGGACAGATCAAAGGCCATTTTGCATCCTACATGAACAAGCAGGAGAACTTGCACAAATGGAAGAAATTGGACAAATTTACCTTTTCCAATCAGCCACTCGACAAGGCGCACATTAGAAGCATGCTCAAAAAGCGACGGAACCTACGAATCGATCAGATGCAGACACCTAGCCCTGAAGTAATAAAATCGCTCACAGATGCCGGTATCTCACCTTGCGACAAGCAACTAGCAGAAATGTTTGCCGAGGACGATGCTGAAGTATTAAGAGTCATACCTGCTGCATCTTTCTGGAGAAAAGGCAAGATTGTAGGCCCAGACATGGTGGGTTTGGTGCACTTGGAACAGGCTCGGTTGGATGCTATCCGACGGTGCAAGGCTGGGCTTCAAGCTTGGGCTGAGTTTGAGGCAAAGGCAGAACTTGAGGCAGAGGCTGAAAAAATTCCTGAAGAACCAGAGAGTCATAGAAAGCGGACTCTGGACCCGGTCTCTCCATCATCAGCACGGCCAGCTCGAAAGGTTGCAAGACGCGAAGTTTCCGATCTCCGTCACGAAGAAGATGCAAAGCAGGCCGCCATGACGAATAGCACAAACGTCAATGAAGCGTCATCAAGTATGGAAAACACCTCTGGGAACGCCAACGCAGGCAGCAGTTCTGACGGAAGCACCTTGACTAAGAACGTCATCAAAGAAGAACCTTTGGACGAGGATGGCTCCGGAGTGAACTATGAGGCAGCCGAAACCCATGGAGGAGATGCCTTGGATGAGGAGGAGGATGCTATGATGAGGACTGTAATCAAGAGAGACGATAGTGTATGACCAAAGCCGATTTCAATGAAGAGATATATTCAGAGTGTTTCAGGTGGCTTTCACTTCAATATCGAGAGCGCGCAAGCGTGCCGACAATTGAGACCAAATTGGGTGATGGCGCCCTGGAAGCGCTGGTATGACATCATCGTTTTGTAGCCTGGACTTATCAGCAGGCTCTATCATCAACTCTGTACGACCTCGGGAGCGAGCAGACTTCTCTTATTCCACATTGAACGCTAATGACATTGTCTCTCTCTCGTGTTCCGAGAGCACGATGTGTGCAGACGCTTTTTGGTTTCAGTTGCGGCCAGGCATCCTCGGGGCCCATACTAGTTTACCGGTACCCCCCGCCCAACGGGTCCGGCTGTTTCGGGAAGGTTCGCTCCTGCAGGCCGAGGAACCTCAACATGTCCACAGTCACCAGTCGCTCAACACCAACCCCCTATGAAGAAACGGCGCGGTTTACATGTTAGTGAACTGCTATCGATACTAAGTTGACTCCAACCCCGCGCGCGACAAGCAACACAACCGGGCCCCACTGTCTGACCTGCCCCCACATCACACCTTCGAAGCCACGCACTTACCAACACCGAACAATGTCGTTAGAAGCAACTCGCAAATATTGGCTACTACTACCTGAGAACCAGCGCGTAGCATGTGATAGTGCAGATAAATGGCATTGGATAAAAGAGAGAGAGAAACTGCTGCGAGGCCGAGTGTATGATGTTTTTCTGACGTGCGACATTCTGATATCACGGTATGTTCAGACGACGAAGAAGTCCATTACCTGAAAGCCATGACTCACAGCTTCATTAGCTCTATGAAGACTTCGCTAAAGCTTCATACCGGCTTTCTGAAACGCCTTTGGTTGAGCGACAGGGAAGGCAATCTCTCAGACGGCGACGTGCGCGCGATTGTTGCACGGAATCACCTCCTACTCGATATCAACTTATATGCACCAAATTTGACAGACAAGGCACTTATTGCCATTCTAAAACACTGTCGATCTGTCGTGTTTGTTGGAATTCACGGCTTGCCTAGCACAAATGGGTGTATCAAAGGCTATTTCGTTGATTTTATGAACATGCGGGAAAATCAGCGCGAATGGCCGTTGCTGAATGAATTGCGGCTAGACAATCAACCCATCGAAGAAGCTCGAATGAGAAGCGTCACCGAAAAAAGACACGGACTAGAGATTCGGCAAAGCATTGCGCTTACTCCTGCTGTAGCTGAGGCGCTGTCCAACGCTGGTGTCAATATACCAGGCGCGGAACATATCGCAACTAAGTGGCGCAGAGGGCATGTCGTAGGCATAGACTGGGTAGCATTGGTGCGCAGAGAGCAAGCGAGGCTGGATGACTTGAAACAGCTTGCGATACAACTTCAAAATGAAATGCTTCAACGGCTTCGACAGAAAATTCATGAATTGGAACGGGAGCTGGAGGAAAATGGCACACCACTAGATCAATTTCGACGAGAGCGAGATATCGCTAGACTTCTAGTCAATTCTGCGCACAGTGATACAGAAGAGACTAGATCAGAAGAGACTGGATCAGAAGAGACTGGGTCAGAAGAAACTGGACCAGAAGAGAGCTGTTCTGAGGCAGAGGGCTCTGGCGATGACGGTCTGGGTGATCTTGATACTAGACGTCTAGGTAGTTATGAAGAGGGAGACTCAGAAGCAGATGAACTCGAGGAAGAGGAAGATATCTTAGAGGAGGAAGAATCAGAAGCAGATGAGCTCGAAGAAGAGACCGGAGAAGAGCATTCGAATGAAGAAGATTGCTCCCCAGAAGAGACCGGCGGGGAAGGGGAGGAGGACGACGATGAAAGATATCAAAACGAGGAAGAGGCGCGTCCCTCAATCAAAGCCGAAAGGATTGCACAGATTGCAGACCAAGAGATCCTCAATACAGAATCCAGATATTGGGCCCCTGTGGAGCGGAACACAGGAGCAACGATAAAACAAGAAAGCCGCCCTAGTGTAGCGAGAAGTTTACCAAGAAAATCGGCATCGATATCTGCCGATGAGGATAATGACATGCGCATCGCGAGTGGAACTCATATCCAAGACGAAAGACAACCGAGCGACCGCAGTGAGGCGGATTCCAAAGATGAGCTTTGCAACGGGGTCAAAAGCGAAAGTAGAATACATGCACAAGATGCCGCACGCTTGGGGAACGACATCGAACGCTCTAATGTTGTCAAAACGTATTATCCACGCACACCCATTCCACCCCTCGAGTTTCAGGGTTCTGTCACACTCAGATTTAGCAGTCCTCAGGATTGGGAGCGACGATGGCATAGGGCACAGCGTCGCACAGGCATACGCATGGTCATCTTCGAACCAAGCTTTGCTGTCACAGTGTAAGTTGTCTTCGTCTGTCATTGAGTTTATTATTAGCATACTAAACCTAAACAGTGCCGACATCAATCTGCTAGCTTGGTCACCAGCAGCATTTAGTTCATCTATTCTCGCGATCCGCGTGGGCAACGGTGCCCTGCTAGACGACCAGTCTATTACCAACCTCGCCGCGAATATGGCGCAGTTAACACAGGTGCAAATCGACTTGGCCCCAAGTATTGGTGACCAATCCATCATGAGTCTTATCGAGTTCTGTCCGGCCATTGAATACATTGAAATATGTGGGGATCTACTCACGAGACGATATGGTGGTGTGACTTTGCGTAACCTCGACGCGATATTGATTGCAAATAGAGATCAGGCCCAACGTCTTCATCATTTGGTACTCGTAGATCAGTTGGTGGAAGACAAGAGCGTGGAAGCCTGCGAAAAATTGCGAGCAATTTTGAGAATTATACGTGGACATCAGACACGAGAATAGATCGTGCCGGGAGCCAGGGCTTAGCGCGCGGCTAGATACGCAAAAAAATGTCATTTTATTAGATACTATAGATTATCATACTTATCAATCCAACGCGAATCTTTGCGAGTCTCGGTCCGCCAACGGCACCACGTTGTAGTTCAAACGCTGTACATAATAATCGTCTTCAAGCTCATGTGCCCGCGGTTTGCGTTGCACCTGGCCTAAAAGAATTGGCCTTAGTCCCTTTTTGAAGTTGTAGAAGCAAACGCAGCCGGCCAGGAGAGCACTCGTCGAGAAGACCACCCCTACGCAGAGATAGAAAACCATCTCATCCTTCAATAGAGTATCAGCAAGTAATGAGTGCCCATAGAGAACGAGGAGTCTGCTGATCAGGTATGCGATATTTGCGGCATGGAGAAGCTGTGAGGTGGGGCGTTAGCGCCTGCCAGTCCTTTCGAAGTTGAGCGACCTACCAAAACAAATGCCATTCCAATGCGACGCTCATGCCGGACAAAATATACCGCGATGGCCACATGTACAAGAGTAGCCGGGATGATTGAGATCGTCAATGAGAACTCGGGCTCCTGGAAATGGACGTCGATGAAATCGTAGAAGATTATGAACGCGAAGACGAAGTAGGGTGTGAACTTGAGAAGCACGAGGTAAATCTGTGCTTGTGTGAGTATAGTCAGGCAAAGAAGATGACGCAAGTCTTACCTGGTAGACAGCGTATTTTGTTTGTATCTTCTTGTCAGGGCTGACATGCTGGTATAAAGCCCAAGAGAACTCACGGTATAGGCCCCTCGCTAACAGGCACATAATGGCACTGCTGACACATGTGACCACGGTACAGACCATCAAGCCAGGTGAGATCTTCTTCCAGAATGGCCAATCAACATCTGCGAATGGAGTGCCGTACATGTCGTGATTAACGAGAATCCTAGATACTGCATGTCTAGTCTCGCCATATTGGAGAACCGTCGAGATTGAAAGGCATATGTTGGCGGCGCATTGAACGAACACCTGAATGTGGTTCTTGATCCGGTATGCGTCAAGTGTCAAAATGATTTGGAAGAGACATCCCAATGAATTGACACACAAGGTCAGAGGGATGACATAAGATATCGGAACCTGGTATGCAACCGAGTTTACCCAATTCAAGTACGTGACAAGAATGACTCTAGGTCTAGTTAGACAGTTCATCTAGCGAGTGAGTTATGCGGGGAAATACGAACGTCTGTATCGTAATATTCGTAATCGCCTGAACTGTCGTAGTGCCAAAGAAAAACCATTCCAATCTCGTCTCCGGCCGCCACGATACCATCGTTGTTGCGTCTCCCCGATCGAGCTGCCCACGCGCCCAAAGAGGTAATGGAAACGAGTGTGATGTGAATCAGCCACACCGGGGCAGGGTACAAGCGGTGGGTATGTGTGCGACGGGAGAATCTTTTTAGCAGTCTCGAAGAATCATGATAACGCGTGGACAGAAGCAAAAACCTTCTAGTTCCATGGATAGTCTGGCATTTTCCGGGCTTGGGTCCGCTAGGAAAGCCTAAATACGGGAAAGGAGCTTCCGCACTACGCCGTATTCAGCCGAACGTCGACCATTGCAGCTGACATTGACGCTACGCCATCCCAGACTTCTCACCGCGAGCATTTCCGGAACCCTGATGGACGACATGATTGAATGGTCTCTGAAATTACTATCACGATACGAGGTTGGTGCTGTGGGAGGTGTGGGGGGATTTGGGCTAGTCGCTTTTTCTGTTAGCGTGACAGCCTTCATGCAGGCTGTCTCCCGAGGTCTCGTCTCATCAACCCGACCTTGCGACACTTGAGGTTCAGGACAAACTCACAGCGATATCTCGCTTTCAGTGTTGAGAAGACACCAGCTATCGCGATGTCCATCCACCCAATACGCCTTTGCTCTGTTATGATGATTGAAAGTTCTGTTCTAGACATGCCCCACGCACGACGCGCAAACCGTGGGTCTTTTCGCCACCAGGGGCACAAAGCTTGCCGAGAGCTGTTCGAGAGAATCTATGAACCGTGAAATCTCGAAGGCCAGACGCATTCCAAGGCTTGCTTTTGAGACACTTGTCGAACTCAGGGAGCGACTGAAAGATCAAGCGACCTCTACACCAAGGGAGTTTAAATCATCCATAATCACGCTCTCATACCTCGTTCCATCATCTTTTCTCCCGCTACCCACAACGCGATATGAGCACCCAAAACTCTCACCTGCAGCTCCACTGGCAAAGGTCTATACCACGCCTTCCTGAGGAAGAACACTTGATTCATCCCCCTCTTCATCTTTCGAGTCCTCGAGATTGTCTTGTGGCCTAATACACGCTTCATCCCGTCTGTGGTGAACTACAAACCGCCCATGCCTTGTGCTGCAATGGCGAGCCACACCCTTGTAGTACCCCGGACACTTTTCACGCTCCCAACGGTTACTATATTGCTTGCTCCCTAAACATTCCTGGATTTGGAGTGTACAACTGGAACTCCGGAGTCTGCTATCCACACCCACTAGCTCGCGATGTTCCCAAGCAACCTCAAGCGCCGCAAGAACCAGCACAGCACCATGGCCATGCAGCAGATACGAACACATTAAAACGGAAATGCGAAGACGCAGAGTACCCAGGTGCTACCGGACCAAAGTTGCCCAGAATCGATGAGTATGCAGCGACTGCCGAACGAGTACGCAGCGAAGAAGTCTATGGGGTCGGTTCCAACGAGGATGCTATGTTCTTGGAAGAAAATCCGGTGCTGAAACGAAATAGGGCGGGTCCAGTACTGTCCGATCCAGCTCTGCACAAGATTAACAGGACTGCAGCTCCTGTGGTTTACCCGGGCTTTGCGCCCCTGCCTGTAAACAACGCGCCACATGCAGCAGCGATTGTCGATCAAGAATCTAGAAGGTATTCCCATGAAGCTCATGAGGGCCGAACCGAGACAACAACCGCGGCATTTGACGATGCACCCAGTGCTAGCGAAAATGTAGCTTCTATCTCGGGAGGAGATGAAGGCTACGATAGCGGAAGCGGGAATGAAGTGTCACACCACCGGGGATATCAAGATTTGAGAACGTTACATTTTTGGAGTGAAGCAGACTGGAAAGATTCATGGTGTGAGACTGGATGTGGTCAAGGCATTGAACTATTGCACTTTGGACCTGACTTTCCTGTTACCGAGTATGTATTCAAATGCCCAAGTCCTCGTGAGTGAAGCAGTACTAATTGCCTTTTCAAATTTAGTGAAGTCATTCGTATATCGCGGCGACAGCTTCCGTGGACGACAAGATGATCAGCAGCGTCTTCGTGATACGCTGTGATAATACCAGCATGCTCACCGACCGCGGCATTCTCGCCATCACTCGCGGATTTCGTGCACTCAAAGACATAGTCCTGTACAATGCACGTTTGCTCACCAACACTTCGATACTTCACCTGTTGAAGCGATCCTCCAACCTCCGTCGCATCCGCATAGCGCGCGAATTCGAACGTCCAAATCCACTCGTCTGTCGAGTCTGGATTCTCGAACGCACGCTTTTGAACCAGGAAAACCGTTGGCCCCGTTCATTTATGCCTTTGCTCTCACGGTTGGACGAAAGCCCGAGTTATCCGCCTGCTATTGCGTATGCACTCAGCCTCACGATCCCAATATTTCGCATTGAAAGATCATCGATGGATGAACACTGGTTCGGCCCAGCATGCGACGCTGAACACGCGTTGAATCAGCTGAATCAGTGAAACACTTTCCAGTTGTTCAAGAGGAAGCCGTACTACTATTCTTGGATAAGTGGCCTTAAGTCATACCGTAGGAACGACGTTGGCGATCCAAGGAAGCCGGTCTGGGATTGCGTAGAGATCCATGTATAGCGCTAGGTGTACATTGTATGCTGTTGTTGTATTCGGCGAAGCCACGCACATTGGATGTCACGAACCTAAGAGGTGTTGTCGCGACAAATATTGCAACTAACATCCGTTGCGTTCATGATTTGCGTGATAAAAGAAATTGAGTTACCGGGTTTTCATGCTGGGCGTGCTGCGCCAGCATGCACGAGTCGGATCGTCCGCGACGTGTTTCAGCCTGGTCGCTATCTAGACACCGAAATCGCTGGACATGCCCAAGTAGAGCTTATGACGCCACAATAATTGTTCTATAATCTATGGATCGTTTACACTGATAACTGACATCGTTGTTGCAATTGCAAGGGACGATTACACGTACCGTGAACTTAGCTGATACCTAGCTATCTTCGATGCGGAGGGAAAGTGGTGGCTCTGCAGCCGTCAAAGCTGACCCTGGTCGCATGATCGCTCATCGAAATCTGGAACACATTGTAAACCTCAGGAACACCACAAGGTTGCGGCAGCATTTTTGACACGAGAGCCGAATATGTAGGCTAGCAGTGCGCACTTCTGCTCTCGTTTCCTTGAATCCAACTTTCGCAAACCGAGAATGGATCCGCCACCGCACACCATGCATCCGCAGATGCACCTTGGCCCCGAGAGCCCATACACTCCACAGTCTCTAC